GACACCGCGAAGAAAGCGTTTCAAGTAAAGGGGAATGCTGGTCGGTTCAAGGGCGGCCGGGCAAATGGTCGAAAGGGAAGCGGTCCAAGGAAGAACGGTACCTTCAAGGGCAAGTGCTTCAAGTGTAAACAGGTTGGGCACATGAAGCGGGCCTGTCCAACGAGGAACGGCGACGACGACAGCAACGCTGTGTTCGCCGCGGGCGAGGAACATCCGGCGGGGTGGTTGATCGACAGTAGTGCGACATCACACATGACAGCCTACAGAACGGACCAGTTTGACTACGAGACGCTGGATGCCGACGTCAAGGTGATGATAGCGGATGGCAAGCAGCTAAGCGTTTTCGGTCGAGGTACGGTCAAGTTGACGGGTTTGGACGGCAGCCGCATCAGGATGGTGGAGGTGCTGTACATCCCGGGGCTCGATAGACGCTTGTTGTCTGTTGGGAAGCTGGCGGAACGCGGTTTGAGCGTGGAGTTCCAGCGTTCCTCATGCGTGATATGGGGAAAGAATAGCGCCATTGCTTCGGGAAAGAAGGTTGGCAAGGCGTTCCTGCTGGACTGCGAGCAGGAAGAGGCACGGTTCGTGGAGTATTCGGAGGCTGACAGTCAGTGGGAGCTCTGGCACGCTCGTATGGGACACCCCAGCAAAGACGCGCTGATCAAGCCACAGCGTTCCAGGAACGGTATACCTGCGGTAAAGCAGGTGTAGAGACATTGTGCGGTGGATGCATGAAGGGAAAGCAGACGGTGGCGGCGTTCCCGTCACGGTCACTGACGAAGACGACACGTGTGCTGGAAGAGTGCTCATCAATGTCATGGGGCCAACGAGAACGCTCTCGAAGGGAGGTGCGAAGTACGTGCTAACGTTTGTGGACGACTACTCGAGGTATGTCGCAGCGTACTTTATCAAGAACAAGAGCGAGGTGGCCAGTAAACTGAAGGAGTTCAAGGCGTTCTACGAGAATCAGTGGGGACAACGCTTAAAGTGTCTTCGGTCGGACAACGGAACATAGTTTGTGAACAAGATGATTGCTGATATTTGTCAGCGGAACGGTATCGTGCACCAGCGCTCGGTACCGTGTTACCCTCAACAGAACGGAGTGGCGGAACGCATAAACCGGACCATCATGGAGAAGGCCCGCACTGTGCTATACTATAAGAGCGTTCCAACGAAGTGGTGGGCAGAGGCTGTGAGTACGGCGGTGTATTTGATTAACCGTTCCACGAACGCTTCGCACACGGATATCACACCGTACGGGCTGAGATTCAAGGTGAAGCCACGAATGGAGCATCTGCGAGTGTT